ATTGTGTTGGCAATGTAGCACGGAGGAACCGGTCTCGACCTGAAACCTTAAGACTCTGCACCATGACATCAGACCCACCCACCACCAGAGCATTTGGTAACCCCGACCACACCTGAAAAAGGTTGTGTTGTAGTTTCGATTGGGCACAAACGTTTGGGTGTATGACCCGACCTTTATTTTCTTCAAGTGCAAAAAAAAAAGAGCCGTTCCGCTGTGGAGCCGCCACCATGCCACTCACGCTCTCGTAGACAAGACGACACGGGCAAGGTTACTTTGCAGGTTAGGTTACTGGAAGTCGCACATTGACTACAAAGTGAAAGTTTCATCTTCTTAACTACCCTGCCCCCTGTGGCCCATGTCCGCCCCTCGTCTCTCATAGATTCTTCCCTCCTCCATGGCGCGTACTTGTACCCTAACCTAAAATAGTTCGTCTGCGCGGTATGGTTCGAGGAGACAGCCATTAACTTCCGTCGCTCCTACCTCGTTCAGTTGGGATATTCCTTGGCGTTGAGTCGATGGCACCCGGTTGGAGCTGGGCTGCGTGTGGACTGTGACAGTGTCGTCTGGGGACGACGACGTTAGCAGTTTTGAACACCTCACCAGCTGACTACAAGAGACTGCGAGCGTCGCTAGATCGGGTGTAGTTACCCGGAAAGCCGCGCCGCCCGCAGCGCCGTGCGCCGTACGTACGCATCAACCAGCTGTCCAGGTGCTGCAACTGCGTGGCCTCGGACACGACGCCACCCTCCTTGACGGCAGCGCGTCGGGGCAGACCGAAACGGATCAAGGTTGCAACCATACCTCCAGAGTGGCGGCATCATGCCCGCCAGCTAGAGACTAGCGGCGTGCGCGGGCGAGTGCGTGGAAGCTCAGGCCCCAGGCCAGGACAGCGTCACGGACCAGCTGGCCGATGGCCGTAGTCCTGGGGAAGGACACCGTTGCCAATCCTCAGTCGCTGGTCATCACCATACTTCCTTTAGGATCTTAGCTTTTTGGCGATCGGGCAAAAGCAGCATCTTACTGAGGTATTTAACGCGGGCATGCGACAACAGAAAAGACGTTTATTAAAGTGATAATACTATTTTATTCATTGCATCAAGGGCTAGGCTAGAGCTTAGGTAAACGAACAAAAGTTAGCCGCGGTGAGAGCGGGGGAGTGGCTCGGCCAGTTAATTGCAGTTAATTGTCTGTGTGGGCTACTGCACTTGAACACGATCGTCAATTTTCACGGCGACGCCGTAGCTGAAGCAATGCGAACGTAAAGCAGTTTCGGCTTCGGCGCATAGGGTACACAAGGCCGCATCCGGTTCGGCCGTCGTTGGGTGTTTGAAGAAGAGGATGCACCTTTCACCATGAGGAACCAAGACGAGAGGTTTACGCCAGGTCACCTTCACAACTACGTGGAGCGGCATCGGGGACCTGCGCACGAGGTCCTGGCACTCTGCGAATACAAGACGGGGCCCTCAATCTCGCGTTCTGTGGGGGTGCATGCACACAGGAAACACTTTGAATATAGTGCAGCGTCTTACGTGCAAAGCCCGCGTAGTCAGACGAAGGGTCGGCGTCCTGTTCAGCCGTGAAGCTGTCCGTGAAGAACACGATGCTCAGTGCCGGGATGGCTCCAGCGGGGATGCAGGCGAGCGCCTCGGGCGGCGGCGGCGTCCGTAGCTTCAGGATGTGGAGAGAGTGGAGGTTGGGCAGGCTCGCCAGCGCCGCCTGCAGAGCGTTCGGCTCCAGGCGACATTCCGTGAAACCAAATCTGAGAACTAGGTGCTTCAGGCCGCCGAGCTGCGCGCCAGCCAGGACGCGGAGCGTCAGCGAACGGCAGCTTCCGACATCCAGGCGTTGCAGTGAGCCCTTGCACGACTCCAGCAACGAGATAATCTGGTTCTGGAAACGATGAAAGGTTCTAAGGAGCGGCACGGGGCAGGTTACCAGGCAAACTCGCGGCAGAGGTTTGGTCTATACTTTGAGTATCATCATCCCGCAGTCAGTCGAGAGGATCCTCAGATCCTGGAGCCTTTGCACTGGCTGCAGCACCACGGCCGGTCTGGAGGGCACAGTCACAGTCACGAGCAGCCGATCGAGTCCGCCAGGACGGGAGTCCAGCAGCGGCAGCAACGGCAGCATTTCCAACGTCTTCAGGTTCAAGCAGCGCACAGTACGACTGAAAGCAAAGTATTCAAATAAAAGAAATGACGAGCTGCCCCCCTTCTCCCCTTTCCCGGAACAGCATCATCGGAATAGCCTACGTGTGCGCCAGCAGCAGCGAGCTGAAGGCTTGGAGTACGGTGTGATCAGGTCCCCGCTGCTGTCGAGAGCCGTCGTAGTATTCGCCGGTACTTGCCAAGGACACGTGGTGCAGGTAAGGCAACGCCCACGCCTGCGGACAGCGGACAGGACATGGGCGTTCATGATGGTTGCAGCGCCCCCCCCCCCACCAACCACCTCTACCTCACACACTCACCTGCGGCCAGCTGAAGATACATTTTAAAAAATAGGATTCCAAGCCGACGTCCAGATTTCGCAGGAGGCGGGTGGATCGTAAGCTAAGCAGGAGAACCTCCAGCCCACGATCAAGACCCGAGATCTCCAGGTACTCCAGGTGAGCCTTAACCTCCTGGATTATGCTGACGCAGCGCTCTGCGGTGATGGCCTGCACTGCCAACGTGGTGAAGGCTTTCAGCTGAGTTTGCCTGCAGGGGAAAGAAATCTGTAGTGAACTTCGGTGAAAGGAGGAAGAAGAAGAAGAGCGGGTAGAACATAAACATTCCCGATGCGTCCACGTGCCTCACGTCGGGGTGGGAGTGTAGGCTTGACCAATCAGGAACGTTTGTGTTCTACCCGCTATTCTTCGTCCTCCGTTAGCCGAAAAACATTAGTGCCAGTAATGTGCATGTCACAGCAGACCAGCACTTAGTCAGCCTCCGTGTTCCCACCTGGTGAAGCACTTTAACTGGACGACAATCATGGGAGAACGGTGCACGGTGAACTTCAACTTGTACACGGGCGGCACGGCCCGCAGCAGCGCCGACATCGCGGCGACGTCCTCGAAGTAGTACTTCTTGTAACTCCTATCTTTCCCGCGCCACAGCGACGCGTGCGCCCTGGTGAGCGCGCCCAGCCTGGGGGTCGCCTGCCCGGCGCGCACCAGGTCCTCCACCGACAAGTGGGAGAGCACCTCCACTAGCGGCACGTCGGGCAGCGAGAGGAGCGTCGTCGGGGGCGGGGGCGGCGGCGGCGGGGGTGGCTGTGGGCAGAGTCGCGTGTGAACTGGGCGTGTCCGAGCGAGCACCCCAGCCGTGCGATTCCGGAGATCGTTCAAGAGGGGCTCTCCTATTCCTCCCGTATAGCTCCGTCCTTGTTGCACTCATAGGGCAGGTATACGAGCGAGAGCCCTTCTTTGAACGATCTCCTGAATCGAACGGCAGTGTTGCGGGTGTGCGCCTCCTATAAACCGGTGAAGCGAAAAGGCAGAAGTATGCAAGGAACAACAGCATATGGTAGTTTTCTGTTTTGTTGTTCTCTGCGTTCTTTCTCTTTTCAGCTTCACCGGAATGCAACATTGGCAAGGTCTCACTGGGCCTCAGTGGCCGTGGCGTCTTGCGGACGCGGTAAAAGGAAAGGAAGGATTCTTACCAGTTCCTCGACTGTACCCTTCACGGGCGGAGGCGGGGCCAGAGATATCTGAGCCCGCTTTCTTGCTCGAGTCAGCATAGCTGCAGTTTTCCAAACTTTGCAACGCGATGGTGGGGTAGAGGTCCGTAAACGTCCAGGTGTCGAAACAGATAACCTAACCTTAACAGACGAGACGTTCTCGTTGGTGTACAACCAGCTCCGTCTAATTTGTTCATGTGGCAAACCCTCAAACACATCGCAAACACTTACCGGTCTAAAGAGTGACGCGTCGTTACAGTTTTAGTGATTAAATACTGGACCTTGACATCGTACGTACACTGAACCTGGCGTACTGACGTAGGTTGTGCCCCAGGCTCGTCCGTCGTCGACCGTCGGCCGGGTTGCTCTGCGGCCGTTGTGAGCCGCGCCAGCGGATGCTACCAACACTCGCGGCGCCGCGGCGGTCGCGACGGCCGCCAGCAGCGCCCGGCGAGGTGAGAGGTCGCGGGGCGCGAGGACCTGCACCCCCACGCTGGGGGTGACCCGCGGGGGTGACTCGCGAGGACACCCCGCGACTTGCGCTGTCCTGCGTCAAGTTGGTAGCAGCTGAGAGGCGCCTGGCGCGGCTCGCAACGGCCGCAGAGCAAACCCGGCCGAAATTCGAGTATCGTGGCGGGGACGCCCTTA